GCAGTGATGGTTTTTTGCTGTCTGAATAGCGCTAGATATTCGCAGCGTCTGTACAGCATTGCTGCCCAGATGCTGATTCGATGCGTTCACAGACAGCAAAAAACCATCACTGATTCGAAAATGTTTGCGAAGACATTTCCAAACTGGAAATGTCAGTGCGGCTCACACTGGGATTCCGTCATAAATGTGAATAGCCATTTTCATTTTCGTAGAGGAATATGCGTTTCCTGTAATGAACGATTCGCAGATACTACTGAGTTCTGTGAGTTTCTATTCAGAGCTTCAAAAAGAATGCATTTAAAGAATTCTCGTTCTGAATTAAACATATTTGCGTTGAAAGGAGTAATTAACCGCTATATCTCTCTAAAACACTATACGCTCTATTATTTATGTGAAGAGGACAAGTGGTATAACCTCGATGATAATGGCGCTAATGTATACGAGATCGAAAATCATATAACAGGAGAAATCGATAATCCAGTGGTTCTGATTTATGTGAAATTGGTACTGATTTTTTTTTACTTTGTTTTTCTTTTCATTGAGTAAAATAATAATAAACCAACTAATGAAAATTGTACTTTGATTGCTTGAAAAATTGCTTTTGGAATGAAAAAGCTTTCCTGATGACGTTATAATTATTAATAATGATGTTGTGATAAATAATGAAGAAGATCAACAGCAACCACAAGAGCGAAATCAAGCAGAACTAGAAGCTATCTTAAAAAACCTTGCAATTCGACGAAACAAAGGAAACCGGTTAGAATATTCGTGACCTCAAGAAATTTGTGAAAATGAAACTGCAACGTGCTCATTTTTTATATGAACATGTTGCTCTTTCACTTTAACACATTTCCGGAGCACACGAATATTCTAACCGATTAAATTACAGATGGGCGTTTCGCCAGTGAAAAGTGTTAAATATCATTACGAACTAAGTTCCACGAAGGACGTATATTTTGCAATGGGAAAGTACTTTTCATGTTCGTCACACGCGACGTAAACATATTGACAAATTGTTGATTTTTAAAATATTATTTACATAGGATGTAGCTTATAAGTAACATATATGTAATGTCCCAAGTTCGTTTCGTCGGTCGAAAAAGGTAATGTTTTGTTCGAAAATGGATATGGAATTGACCACAATTTTTACTGATTCGTAGTCGAAAATGGAAAAATTGCTAGGAAATTCCGACTGCAGATTAGATCCAAATCGTAGTCAATTCCAACTCCGTACAAAAAAAGTTAGGTTTTATGGGTCAACTCAGCCATAGACTAGTGGTTAGCGTGCCAGGTTTGTGAGCGTGAGGACACGAGTTCGATTCTCGGTCAAATTTGGTCCGGTATTTTTCCACCGTGATTCGCTCAGGAATTATCAGTGGTTTTATGCGGAATAGATTTGGCCGGGTTTCGGGCTAGTGGAGTGCTTCGGAGGGCACTTAAAGCCGTCGGTCCCGTGTGTGTGCACAAAGAATAATGGGTTCAGCATAGACACACGTAAAATGGAGTGCCTTTACGTTAGGTTGGTGTCTTGGATATGTCAAATATCCAATACGTCAACCGTAAAAAGGTAGTGCGACATCTCTGGTGAATATACCGGTAAACCAGCGATATGTGCATTCCTCCATTGAAATAAGAAGAGCCCAACGCCATCTAGGAATGAATGGAATACTTGTGACTGTCACGACAATTGACTTGAGAAGAAAGCCCTGGTCACTGGCCCTGTACGGAGGCTAGTTACATGGCTGCTATAAAGTGGGCCACACCGTGGGAAGCATTCTCCAAGCAATCGAGTGACAGCACAAGTCGGGTCGTCATGCAATAAGTTACGAAACTTGAGCATCGAAGTGAATAACTCCCCGTTTAATCCAATAATCCAATAATCCAATGGGTCAATATTTTTTTTTAGTTTTCAAAAAATATTTTTATGAACAACAAGAAAGTTGAACAACCAGAGAAGTGCTCAACCGTATAGGATTGGTTACATCGCCTGGGAATTTGTGTTTTATAAGGTTTACAGTTATATAATTTATTTATCTATGGATAAATGTATTTTTTCCTCTGGTTTTATTTAAATCGCTTTGTATAGAGCAAACCCTACATGGATGGTAACGTAGTTACCATTATGGTGGCTTACATTGTCAATTTCATATAGATGGCGTTAATGTATCAAAAATTGTGAGTGTGAACAAGTAACTATTTGACGTATGCTTTTAGCATAAATGCTTAACAGCTGTCGATTTCAGTCGATTTCAGTGAATAGTCAATATGAAGCAATCAATTATGGATAAAAGATGTTTCGAACTACGCCAAATAATAATTTGTCGCCCATGTATCGTACGTATATATAATGTTACATTGTTTAATTTAAATTTTTATTACAGGTAGTTGAATAAAATTGACTTTACTTCAGGAATCTATTCCATATACGCAAGAGGATATTGATGCGCACATACAAAAACCAACACACATAAACAAAACAAAACATTATTTGTCCGAGCTGGGAGGCACAAGGTCGACTTTAGTCGAAGCACCTAATATCGTAATGTCCACGTTTTATGATACAATTACGCCATTTATGGATGCAAACGAAGGTATACCTATAGGCAGTTATAACTGCTATAGTATGTTTGAATGAACATTCAACATTCAATCTCATTTAATTATATGTTTTTTAGTGTCGGGAAATAAAGAAGTCGCTCATGAGCAAGATGGACACGAGGGAGATTACCAAAACAACCAACAAAGTGATTCATCTTTAAAGCCATTGTCTCCTTTGTCCTTTTCTTGTTTAATCAAAAAGGTTTTGAATGAAGAAGAAGGCATCCCAATCACGTCACCATTGTACGCCAACGAATCACTGGAAAATATTTTGTATGGCAATTTTGTATCTCTCATTTCTCCATACGAGGAAAAGATTTATCATAATTATTATGCTTTTTCAGAAGCAGCGATTTGTTTCGAGCAATTTCCACCACATTTGACTTCGATCACCTGAAACCATCTAAGGTTCAAATGACACTTTTAAATAATACATTGGAACCTCATGATAATTTACTTGTTGCGAGTGATTATG